TAGACAATGTCATGAACACATACTTAGCCCAGAAATAAGGCGCACAATAATTTGTAAATTTTTTTGGTCATTGAACAATCAAAATATTTATATTAGAACAGAATACTTCAAACGTGTAATAGTATATACAAGAAATATTTGTAAAAAGTGTTTTTATCATTATCATTAACACAATTCGCTTATGCGCTTTTACTTTAAAGCCAAAACTAAAAATAAATTAAAACCAATATTTCTATAAAATAGCAGTAAAAGGAAAAAAGATTTAACTCCGTTTAACTCATATTTTATAGTTTAATAATCACTTGGAAAATACGCAAAAATAAAGTGAATTAGCAAAAGCGAAATGTATAGAAAATGGTAAAAATTTATAGAGCATTGGTTGTTTTAACACATATGTATATTTACATATCAAATTAAAGCAACAAAATTATACTTATTCCAAACTGCATAAAATATGCATTATTAAAATTTAGCGCTTTTTAAGGTTTTAAATATTTATTAAACTTACTCTAATTATTTCAGTTAGCTCATCAAGTGTAATGTAGCCATTGCCATCGATATCATACATGTCGAAGGCCCAACTAAGTTTCTGCTCGATATTTCCTTTAGAAGTGACACTCATCGCAACCATAAATTCTTGAAAGCTTATAGCACCGTTATTGTCTGTGTCAAATGATCGAAATACGATATCCGCAAACTTTCCGGCATCGCCTCCAGGAAAAAAGGAAGAGTATACATCTCTGAATCGACGACGATCAAGGTTGCCACTAGGACAATCTTTGAGGAAGCCAGCGTGCCATTCCTTTAATTCTTTTATGCTAAAGTTTGTGTCTTTGGAAAGCTTTTCTAATTCTTCCTTAGAAAGCTTTCCATGTGAGCTTCCCATTGCACACACTTAATTCGTAAAGAGGATCCTCCTGGTCACAGAAGCAATAACAACACCGTTTGTGAACACATAAGCCTGTTCAAAAGTGGATCGCAAAAAGTAATTAAAGCCCGTGTAAAAAATGCTTTTAAATATCACAAAGTATATTTAAAATAATTCGTCGTATAAATTTTAACTGAAAAATTACTTTAACTAATGAGAGCTGATATTGTAAATAATTTTTTAAATTTCTTTTGGCATGTCATGGCTCTCCTATTAATTAAAATTTTAAGAATTATAAGTTAAAGTGACATTTAAAAGTAGATGACTAAGCTATATTTGTTTTTTCAATAAATATTACAATATTTTATTTTGCGCTATATTATATTACGTTATCATAACTGATAATGGAGTTTATGCCGAAATGATACGATAGGCATTATAATGCAATTAAATTTATCTTAAACTCCCAGTAGATCTTCCCATCGACGATGAATCTCCTTTGAATCTCCTCAGCATTCGTGAAGAATATGAAACTAATTCTTGAGCATCGAAACTGTCCGTTTCAGATATACCCATACCAAATATAAATGTTGTCGATTGTGTATGAGTCAAGCTAAATTTCTTCCTAACGGTTCTATTATCACTCATCTTTATCTCATCTCTCTGAAGAGCTTCAGTGTGGCACGAACTACGATGCAGGCGAAACTTTTGGGAATGTACCAATTAATCTTTTGACGCTCAAAATTATCTTTTTTACAATAGTGTAGAACTCAGTAAATCTTGCGCTCCTCTGAGTCGCCTTGACAATAAGACAGAGTTACGAAAACGAGGGCAAA